AGGGAAAGCTACAATTCTTGATTCACTCCAATCCGGGTAAAGCTACTGCTCTTTTCAGCATCCACATCTTCATCTTTTATATGTATCTATATATATATATATAGACACATGTATGATTGTGCACTTTTGGTGATACTGAGTGTGCTTAAGAAACCCTATTCTAGATTTTTGTTTTGATAGTAAATAAGACCAAACAATTAACGGTTCTCATAGAACCGAACCGTTTCGGTTCCATACTATACAGTTTTGGTTCCGGTTCCGTTTTAAGGAACCGTTGTGAACTGTTCCGGTTCTGGTTTCGACCAAAACCGTAAGGAACCGAACCGTGTGCACCCCTAGTCCCCGTTTCCAATATTAATAAACAATTAACTCATCAGTGTCAATTAAATGTAATATATGTTTGAATATATATATAGAATGGTCATCAGTGTAAACCAATTCCCACCGAAACAACATCGACGTCCTCACTCCTCTCATCCACTTCACTAACGCCGATCACACCAGGAATCAGCGCACACAGACATCACCGACATCCATCACTCCACAGGAAAGAGAAGGGAGAGAGATAAGAGGGTTACACCAGATTAGTATTTTCCTTTTCCTATTGGGTTGTGGAGATGATGGGTGGCAACATCAGTGGAGAAAAGAGAGGAGGGGTGGTGGCAATGGTGGGTGGCAGCATAAGGAAGTGAGAGAGAGAGAGCAGAGAGATGAAAAAAAAAAACGCAGAGAAAAAAAAAAATGAAAGGGGAAAGAAAATAGGGGCAAATTGGTCATTTCATGATAGTATATATTTTGATTTTTTTATAATAAATTAAAAAGTAAGGGTAAATTAGTAATTGTGTTCTTTAGTTGGTCGGAAACTAGCTTCCGGTGGCCTTTAAGGATGCATTTTGCTTACTTTTGATAGTTTAAAGGGACATGTTTCCAAAAATAGTTTAGGGAGACATTATGCAACAATGGAATAGTTTGAGGGTTTTTTTTTTTTTTTTTCCGCTTTTTTGCCTTATTGTTAAGGTTGAAGTCTTGTAATTTATATTCATTGCATAGAGATGGAAGTGAATCAATCGACACAAATATCAAGGGTGATGTAATCCAAGGTAAATTGTCAAGTTCATGTCTTTTTAAGGACAAATGAGTAATATATTATTTTGGATTTTGCTATGTTTATTACTTTTTATATTATTATTATAATTTATAATTTTATTTTAAGTTTTGTTATGTTTACTGCTTTTATATTTTTATTATATTTTATAATTTTATTTACGAGCATTGTTGGAATGTTTTTCGGGATGCTAAACAAAATCCAACTGAACAACCAGCGAAGATAGGCGTTGATCTGGATATTAATGAGCTTGGAAATTGGTCCCAATTGACTTCGGCAACACTAGGTTAATCAACTTTTGCAATATCAACTCCAGCTTTGGTAAACCTTGGCATGACGACCCACCAACTGATACTAAATGTTCGAATATCTCACGCCCGAGGGACGAAAAGCAAGGAAGATTCGTAAAAATAAATTAGAATTTTTTCAAACATATATTCTTACACAATTGGAAGCTGTAACATAACAGGGCATCATGTTTGGTAAATGATTAGAGTTCAACTTTCTATGGAGTGATCTGGAAATAGAATCGAATTTGGAAAAATAATGGACTAAACAATTGAAAATAAAAACGAGAGAAATGATGGTTGAAGTGGAGTTTGAAAGAGATATAATAATGCTTCAAAATTCATCAAAGGCTCCAATAGAAGCATCAAAAGCGTGGACCATTGAACGACAAAATCAAATTTTAAATAAACTAAATCAAGGGGGTGGTCATATATAATTTATTTTATTTGTGAAAAAAATATGTATTGTCTTTTTATCTTATTTATGTAATTATGAGAAAAATATGTAACGTTTTTTCTATTTTATTTATGTAATTGTGAGAAAATATATAATGTCTTTTTATTTTATTTATTTAGTTGTGAGAAAATATGTAATGTCTTTTTTTTATGTTAATTTAATTTGTTAAAAAATTGTTCCATTCAAATATAATTTTTTTTTTTTTTTAAGTGGTTGGAAAAGTAGCCATTGAAGAAAACAGACAAAAAAATAAATGTGTTTTTAATTTTTTTTTACTCAAAATATTAAATATGTATAAAAAAGAATTAATAGTAGTTAGCCCGTACCGTGAATTTCGGACAGCAAGACACTGTAAATAGCCACGTTAGCACAATTGCTGATGTGGCTAACAATTCACATACACATTGCCAGCCGGTATAGTGCTACACTGAGTGGCTCAAAACGAGACTCACACACCAAACCATGGAGCTTCCTACCAACTGGGACAAAAAGCATGCATAATAAACAATACAATTCAAGAGTTTGTAACTCTGAAAATAGTTCTAAGTAACTGAAAACATTTCTCATGAATTTAGAGAACATAAAACTTTTATCAGATTACTATAAAAGGCATTTATCTAAAAACAAGGTTTTTTTATAACTGAGTTTTTAGAAAATATTTTTTAGAAAACTGACTCAAGTAGAATTTTTTGTACAATTTTCAATTTTCTGAAAACAAAAAACTGTTCTTAGAGCTACAAACCAAACAACTATTTCTTTAATCTTGATTCATTTTCAATCTGGTAAGACAATTGGTTTTTATTTGGCTACGTAATTGAAAATAATTTTCAACATTAAAAGTGCAGTTGTATTGGACGGAACTCTTACCATCCACCCAAATAGATAAGTTGTTAGGTAGAGTTGCCTACTTGCTCGTATAAGGTCAAAACCCCCTCCATCCTAACCGGTAGGAGGACTTAGTAACAACCAGGACACGGACTCAACTAAGGGTGGCAATTCGTGTTGACGGGTCGTGTTCGTGTTGATACGATTATGACACGAACACGTACGAGTAGAGTCGACACGAACACGACACGATTATTAATCGTGTCAAGACCCCTTGACATAAACATGGCACAATTATTATACGTGTAGCACGACACGACATGTGTAACCCGTTTAATAAATAGGTTAAGACTTGACACAACACAAGATGATACGAAAAGATATGTTTAAGTCATTTTTTACACAAATACGACACATTTATTTTACACGTTTAGCTAAATAGGTCGTTTTGTCACAAATACGACGCATTTAGGTAATCGGGTTAATCGTGTCATAATCGTGTTAGCAGGGTTAACTACAAACACGACACATTTAATTAACTGGACAATCCGTGTAAATACGATTACGATACGAACACGATTAGCAAAAACCCAAACCATCTTATCTCGTATCGTGTTAATATCGTGTTAGCGTGTTGTGTAAAATATTGCTACCCCTAGGCTCAACTTATCGGCGTAATAAGAGAACGACCCTTCTGTCCTAACTAATACGAGGACCCATAAATAACTAGAACACTGATTCAGCTGATCACCCTTATACAAACACGATTTTCCCATCTTAATTGAATGAAGGACTCGGTAACAACTCAAACACTAACCTAACTTAACCCTCCCCATCCTAATTGGCTGGAGAACTCGATAACAACGTGAATACGGACCTAACATAACCCTCACCATTTTAACTGAGTAGTGAACTTAGCAACAATTCGAATACAACTCGACTCAACCCTCCATATCTTAACTAAAGAGATGATCTAATAACAAATTGGACGCCTTATCGTATGGATGTTTTACATGACATCAGAGATTAAAGATAGGACCTGATAATTTATAATGGACCTTGTACCCATTCCATATGCAATATAACAATGTCAAGCATTAAAAGTGAAAGTTGAGGATTGTTGATAGTAGTTCTTTGTAGGATAAGGAATGTGTTCCACGTGAGCCGAGAGTGCTGAGATCAGTATCCAAGTGGGGATCCAAGTAATATAAGGGACTGTCTGAAGTCAAAGATTAAGAAAGGGAAGGCAGTATCTGATACCCAAGTAGACTCGAGCTCGGTAGTAGTTGGTTGTTAGAGTTTTCTAATTTTGCCTTTAAGGCTGATTAATGCTTTCCTATTTATAATGCCTGTTACCTTGGTTAATGCACGTTAGTCACAGGGGCGAGCTCCCTTTTGCCTGTAGGTTTAAGGATCTCCTCCCCTGACAGATGGGACATTGCCAAGTGGGCTGAGGCGCTTTGCCCTCTGGTCCAAAGAGGTAATTGGCTCTCCCTCTTTAATGCAAGTCTCATCTTCACATTTAATTTTACCCTTTAAGTCCTATTTAGAGCTCAACCTCGGGTATCAATATCCTCTCCCGTTTGCATGGCCCTTTATAGAGACGACTCTTTGAATCCCAGCCACCTGTCCACATTTCCTCAAATTTCTAAGCCTGGAGATGGGGAAAGAAGTCCCTTCGGGGTGCTGCCTTCTCGAGCCCGCAAGACCCTGTTCCAATCCTGGTCCTCGAGATCCCTTCAGTTTAAGGGGGGGGGAGCTCGAGGTGAAAGTATAAAACGTCTGAGGTTCCATCTGCAAGAGGGAACCTCGAAAGTGATAGAGGAGGAGGGACCCATTCGACTGGAGAGGGGTACATTCACAGAGGAGCGAAGGGTAGCAAACCCTTTCTCGTTCAGCAAGTTCAGTCATAGGACAAGTACCTCGAGATCACTTGGTCCTTTTCAGGGTTACACTAGACAGATTCTGGCCAGATGTATCTTTTTCAGAAATGGTGCCACGCGAGCAAGCGTCGTGGCACCCTTATTAATAATAACTTGTTTTAGAAGTGGTGTCACGCAAGCAAGTGTCGTGGCACCATTACATTAACAAGGGCTCAAAGTCTCATTATTTGATGTGAAAAAATAAATAAACATGAATTTCCCTTTATTTGTCTCTTTACTCATTATTTCCCTTTATTTTGTCATTGCACTTTTATTTTATTTTAACTATTTAGATACAATCCTAAATTAATAGTGTTTTAATAATGGTTGTATTTTCTTTAATTCTAATGCTTTAACGAAACGGAAATGAAAGAGGTTGAGACAAAGAAATGACTTTGACCTCTTCCTATCTCTGTAGCTCAGAAAAAAACAATTCTTCTTCCAATTAAACGAAATTAAAAAGCAAACAAAAGTGTGTAAGAAAACAAATTGTCCAAAGTACGAAAACAATCACACGTTCAAAGGACCATCATCTCTAGGGTTTTATAAAGAACCAAGACAGCAAGATACATATACCTATATATACGTATATGTAAGTTTTGTACTGGTAGGGCATGGAGGTCGAGGTCGCAGGTGCGAACCCTAATGGCGGACGACTCGAGAGGGCTCAGTCGGAGACGGATCGGGTTCGCGTGAAGAGGAAAACCTTGGAGGTAGTGCTCGAGCAATGTCAGAGAGCTCTTGAAATGCTCAGTGACACCGGCTGCGTCGAAGACGACGACGACGAGAGCGATGCCGATGCCGATGCCGCGGAGGAGAGCGCCGAGGGTTCGTCGGGTCCGTGCCGGGACAGGGAGACCGACGAGGTGAGGGGAATTTTGCGAATTTGTGGTTCTGTTGTGGATTGGATCGTGTTTAGGGCTTGATTATGCTGAATTATGTGTCTGTCTAGAATTTGTTTAGCTTTTATTGTTCTATCACTGTAGCAATATAAATTATACTACTGGAGTGACTGGGTCTTTAATTATCGGCAAATATATCACATATTTAATATCAAGCAAATTAATTTACATTTGATTACTGTTCTATAAACTATTTCTGAATTGAGATTTTTTGGGGGAAAAGAAAAGGGTTTTAAATGCATTAGAACCCTCAATCCTTAAATTTTATACTATATCCTTTTGTTTTTCCTTTTTCTCACATCGTTCATACAGAAATCATATATAGATTATTAACTTGGCACTCCTAATGCAGCATAATTTAGTGTTGTAGTGCCTTATTATTGTCTGACATTGCATATCTATCAAGCCTAAAAATCCGAAGAAGCAGGAACACTAGCGTGTGCGCTTGTTTTGCACACTGACACTTCATATGTTTTCGACATAGTCCATTTCCTTGATTTCGGATAGATTTCATTTTATTTAACATGTCAACAATTTTTTGATACTAACTACTAATGACTTAGTGTAGCACAAATATTTTTTTAAGGAAGCCACATTCAACAATCTTGAGAACAAGATTAACACACCCAAAGTGTCCAACATTGTACACATGGCAGCCACAAATCAAGAACTCGACATTGTACACATGGCAACCACAAATCAATTATGTAATGATCATTTTCAATATATGACAAGAATATAAATCACAAGGGGATAACCTAATGATAAGGCTCTCACCTCACATCTTGGAGGAATTCTCTTTGGGCCACCCTCAGAGAATCTTCCACATTATGCAATTTTTAACATATAAATTAGAAAATTGACTAAATATATACAGTTGTATAATAAGTGTATACAAATAAAAATATATATATTTATATATTGCCTTGTCCATACCGTGTCCTTCTCCTACTTTTGTAGGACATTGTGTTGATGTATGTCTTGTTCGCATGCCTTGTCCATGTCTGTGCTACATAGAAAAGATGTATCCATATATCTGATAATGAATATCATGGTCCTTAGCACTATCATTATGCATCTTTTTGTTTTATTTTTTCTAAAATTTTATTTATTTATTACAATATGGTTGTCAATGTAAGTGTCATGGATGTGAATCTGTGATGCAATTCAACAATCAGACACATCGATAATATTAATGTATAAAATTCAGTTAATTTGACTTAGACTAAAGTAGAAAACGTCTTCATCATCCACTCAGTATAGCTTCCGAATCAAATTATTTCCTTTGATAAATTTAAAATTTAAAATTGCGATGCAATATGAATGACTCCACTAGACAATGTTAATCACTTCCTTTTGACGGCTTATCAACTTCAAATTTGTGTAACTGTGTCCTTTTTTAATATATATATATATATATATATACACATATATTTGCAGCTGTGCGATCTTCTTAAATCTAGAGTTGAATGCGCTGATTTCTTGGAAAAACTAGAGAATGCTCAGGTGTCGGTTCCACAAATTGTGACTGGTATGCATCTAGAAACTCACTTTGAGAATTTATCATTGTATGATGTTCTTTGTCAATATTTTTTATGCATACCGCCCTTACTTCTTTTCTTAATTTTAAAGTTTAACCTCGGACAAGTTTATATTTTATATAATTTGAACACCTAGTTTACCCTCAAAACGTGTTGATTGGTGATAAATGATAATGTAATCCATTTATGATAGCAGAAGAAGGTAGCTCTTGGGACATAGTAAGTGAAAATGATCTGTGGGAAGGTGAAAATATGGAGTTGGACCAAGAAGACTATGTTCTAGTTAGGCAAGAAGATATAGTGGAGGGTATTGCATGCTTCATGGCTGCATACCTGTTATCCCTTAAGCAAACAAAGGTATGTGAAATTTCTACTTCTTGGTTGATTTAGAAAGAAAAAAAAGGTTAAACTTTATCACTTAAATTGATTTTACTCTGCCTTGATTGCCATGCTTTCTAGTAAACTTAAATTAGCAGGCCTAGTCTGAGCTACTGGTTGGCAATATTGTCTAGAATTATGTTGCACATAGCCACCACAGTGATTTTCTTCTTTGGTGGCTTAACATGGAGAAAAAAGATTGTGTCTCTTATGTTACTCGTAATGCTCCATTTATTTGTGGGTATGTTTCCCTTTATCATCCATTCATTCTTATAACTGATGGCTTCATGAACATGGTTCATTGACTTAGATTCTTATTCTTGTCTTGTTTCTAATACGCATTGGTACCTTCCAGAATTTTTTTTTTTTTTTTTTGACAAGTAGTACCCTCCAGAATTTGGCCTGTCATGCTTGAATTTTTTGTTCTCTTGCTTGCACCAGTTTCATCCTAGATAATGTGCTTATTGTTTGCCATTTTACAATATTCCCTAGACTGACTGATTCAAACCAAAGTCGAGCTGTCATGTGCTAATGACTGGAGTTTATGTGGGACTTGGAAACAAAAGCCTCCTCTCACATGCATTATCCATGTCTTTTTCCTATTTAGTTAGTTAATCAGGATACTATGTCTATATTGTTTTCAACCAGCTGTAATTGGCTTCAACTGCTTTTTTTTTTTTTATAAAAAAAACTTTTAAAGCCCTGTGCATGTGTATAGCTATTGAGTTAAAATTTTGGACAATTTAATAATTAAACCGAGTAATTGGCGGCTAAACACAATAACATCTGAAAGAGTAAATATTTGTCTGAGGTAAGAGAAAGCATCTAAGAATTTTCGCCAAAACAGGAATATTTTTGCAATAGGCTAGGTGTGTCATTTAATCCATGGTAAATTTTTTTATTATGCTTAAAAGGAGGATACTTTAAAAATCAGCTATAGTACTTTGCCATGATCCACACCTTGTTTGGTTACCTTTAGTTGTTCGTAGATAGTCTCGTTGTGTGATCTTGATTTCTCTAGATTTCACTAGACTCAAAAGTACTTTTTTCTCTCATTTCAATCAACCAAGTCAATAGATAGCATACGTCCTATGTTTTCTGCCATTATTAAAGATATGTGCCATCTTTACCGAGTTCCAGATAAAAAGTTGGATTCTTTTTATGAGACAAATAAATGAATATGTTGTTTGTCCAAGTGCAATTCCACAAAAAAACTAGTTAGGTGATTATCTTGAACATACTTTAAAATATATGCATTAATCTGGTTCTTGTGCCGGTTTTCTTTGTGAATCCATATCAGTGCTTTTTTGTCCAATCTTTTTGAAACCAATAGTTTTGGCATTCTGAGATGATTTATGGATATTTTTTTTAGATGTTCACTCTCTCTCTCTCTCCTTTTTTTTTTTTTTTTGGGGATCTCTGGCTTTGATTCATTGCATTTTCTTTTTTGGCTGTAGGATTTGACCCCTAATCAACTCCAGGACGGTGAGTTTTATTGCTTCATTGTGATGTTATAGATAATGTAAAAGAAAAAAAATGGAAATAAAAAAGGAAAAGATAATTTGTATTGGTTTTGTTAATTATGTATATTTAACCTTCATTGAGTGTGGCTGTCAGAGATTGGGGAAAATTAGTTCTGACATCTGTGAATTTTCTTTTAGCCTTGTGCAAGACATTCTCTTTAAAAAAGAAAAAGGGAAAGCTTCGAAAGGCATGGGATGGAAGCAAAGTTATCTATAATGTAGCATCATGGGGAGCAACAGCCATCGGGTAGGTTATTTATATTGATTCAGGTTAAAAGGGTTTGATGGTTTCAGTCTGAACAACTAACAAATCATGTATATTGGTGACTACACTGTTCATTAAAGTTTGAGCTTAAGAATAAACTAATATTATAAATATTAGTATCTCTTAGGGCTTTGCAAAAAGGTAAAAGGAAAAAAAATTTCTTCCACATTGTTATATTTGAGGACTAAACAGAGTAACGAATCTAATGATATAACTCGGCATGCTAAATTAGTAATAAGGACTTTGTATAACTTCCACGCTAAACTGCATTAGGGAAAGGATAAAAATATATATTAAAAGGGTGCTAATTGGTGAATCAAAGGTTTGTATACGACGAGAGCTGAATTTGGAATCTTTTTCACCCAGCACAGCTGCACAAGTGTGTTCTGTTGTCACGTTGCAGTTTCGCCTATTGACACGGGCTTCAGTTATTTGGTTGAAATATTCTCTCTTAACCTTTGGAAAGGGTTCATGGTCAGCCTACCAAAAACATGCAAAATGTTTCTAGTGGGGTGTTCACCTCTCTTGGTAACATTGTCGCTAGGAGGTAGTATTCTTTATATGATGCTGCCAATCGATGAACTTATATCAAAGTTGGTTTGCAAATGTGTTTTTGAGCTAGTGGAGTAACTACAACGAACTAACTTCATCTAAGCATCTTGAGGAGCAATCTTGTTACCACCAATTAAAAATTAAAAAATTTGACAAGGAAATAGAGTAAAAAAGTTTACAACTCATTGAATGTGAGCACGTGTGGATTTATGTCTGAACAATGTGTAATGTATACACATGGGAGGTTGGGAGACTTGGTGCATAAGCCAGATTTCGATGATTCACTTAATGCTCTTCAATTTCATGTGTTTTATTATGAATCCTTCTTTTCTTTTGTCTTTTTGAGTTTATTTAATATCCTTTTGTGTTTCACAAGTTTCCAAAATGTTTAAACTCTTGTGGGGTTTCACCTAATAATTCAAAACATCAGATTTTCGTAAACACGTAAACTACCACTGATCAAGTCTCTTGTGTGTTTATCCAAACAGGATTTATCAAAACCCAGCTCTTCTTAGGGCTGCCTCAGCAGCCTTCTGGACTTCTTGTCATGTTATATCAAAAATTTTCTGATCTGCTGTGCTGCTCGGAGAAATTTTTGATGCTTGGGATTCTTCAGTGTTGTATTTGTGCTGCCGAAGCAGCTTTTAGTGTTCCACAGTTTGTACAACATAAATGCCATTCTTTTTTTGGCTGCTGTTTCATTGATTGCTTTAACATGATTTAACCCTGTAAATATTCTTCAGTTGAGTCATTTCTGTGTGCAATTACAATTGATTGGGATCTTGTTAATGTATTATTGGTTTGTAGGCTTATCCTTTCAGTTGAGCACTTTAAATCTTCAATCAGGTTGTGATCCTTCACGCGTGACGTGTAAGTGTTATCCTGTTAGGTTTCGATTGGCATCGATGACATTTAGCCATTTTCAGATTTCCCTGTTAATGGTGGTTTTAAGAGCCTCGTTTGAACATTATATTTTTCTCATCAGAAATGCTTTACAAAGATTCATTTGTGTTTTCAATTTATTCGCAGACTAAAAGAAGGGAAAAGTTGCAAGAAGATGCGACTTTGGCAGAATAAAATCTTGGGAGACTGAGTGGACCTATTTGGTTGAACACAGAATTAAAAACCATTCTGAAAATCCATTTAGAGTATCTAAAACTATTTATATGAAAAACAACTAGGCCTTAATAATGCCCAAAAACTGAATCTATGGTTAAGATAGAGAATTGTTAACAGCATCGAGGTTTGAAAATGTATTTTCTTTATGTAAAAACCTTTAAGTTCTTTATAGAACAAATCTAGGAACAAAACTTAATCTGGATGCTATATTTTCAACTGTAAATAACAATTCTCTCCTAGGAAATTGGTGTCAATTTAGAAAATTCTGGCCTTGGTCTGTCAATCTGTTTGCTCTTGCCACACTAAGCTTTTAATTGAGCATTCAACTGCTGGTTGGAAAACGAAAATTCATAGCTTTCACCCGGAAGGAAAAAAAAAAAATTATATTCCATTACCCTGATGCAATATTGTCTGTCTCTTTAACTATCCTGTTGAATACATTTACAGAAATGGTTGAACATTGAGATTTGAGAATCTAAAGCTATATAAACTGAATCTGGTACCCTATATCAATTTTTCCGGTTCCCTATGTTTTCAAAACTAGATCAAGAACAACAAAAGTCCTCTGCAAGGGGTTAGGACAACCTCCAGCAGCCACATATATATATATATATATATATTTTGGGGTAAGTAACTGCAGCAGCCAAATTGCTTCAACTCTTTACAAAATTGGTATAGCCTGTGGTATAGAAGTTAGAGCTGCAGTTTGTGACAACTCAGTGTCCATTTTTCATCAGGGTGCCGTATATCTTCTGTATTTCGTGCTTGTATTTGACAACATATACCCGTATCTGTCACCTCTCCCCGCTCTGTTCCCTCGTATCTATCTATCTATACCCAAAATATGGCCTAATAATAGTATGTGTTGCCCTTGTGACTTGGAGTGTCTTTGCCAAGCATTGAGCGCACTTCATTGATCGATCTTGGGGGCTCCAAGTCCTTCTCTTGAAGAACATTTCCAAGCAGCTGCTGCATATGTGATGCGAAGGTGTCATCCAGAATCTGCAATTTACAGAAAGGCGACGATCTAAAGGAGTTATGGCAAGAATGAAATATCTATATATATATATATTATTGCTGTTTAGTAAACTCAAACTGGGCATTATAGGTTTCCTCTCAGTGATTAAGGCATGTTGACTTCCCAGAAAACACAAGCACAAGTTAAATGATCAGGTAATGTCTATCACATAATACAATAGTACTTGTCAGCATCACTCAAAAAGCACAACACACAGCCAGCTCTGGACTGAAAAGACCTGACGGGGTTAAATGGAGAGAAGATTTCCTCCTCAATTTAGAACTTCCTCTGTGATACCATCTACTAAATTTCCAAGATTAGCTCAAATCAGTAATCCTTTACTCTTCAGGCACTAAAAAGACAATTAATTCCTCACTCCCAGTAATTCAATGGCTACAATCTTTTAATCAGGGTAATTGGGGCTCCTGATCCAGCCACTGGTACTACAGATCGTTTACAGAGTGTTGAAGTACTGGGCTACTCATCTCCCTCACTTGATATTTTTTTTTCAATTAAAGTTCCCTCACTACAGGAGCATGCAAGGAACCACATTTGTGGTGCTAGTTATGCAGAACAAATGATAGCCATTGATAGATTCTGTGTGCATGCAGCTTCTGTATCTGTTGTTTTAACTGTGATTACTTGTGTGAAATAGAATCTCTATCAACTATAGAGTTTGGGCTTAAAAGGAACTGCTATACTTACAGACACAGCAATTCGAGAACCTCTATACCATGACCTGTTTTCTTTCCTGTTCTCCAAGAAGCTCAGAACATCCTACGACAAAATAAAAACACTTTTAAAATGGTACAAACCAATAAACCTGGAGTGATATTTGTTCATAATCTCCTGATGCAACAAAAGATTCATCTCCAGAAGCAATTAACACGTACCTGTCCCATACGATCCCAGTAACCCCGACAGATTCCAATGAAGACATGGGTCTCAAACACAGTGTGGAGGTGGTTCATTGTATCTTTCAGCTGGTCTTTTAGTGGTTGCATTCTACTCCTTATGTCTGATTCAACCACACTTTCTTTCGAATCCTGGAGAATCTTTTTAAGTTTTGTAGCACTCTCTAACCTTGTCTGGAACATAGAAAAGAAAATAAAACTGAGAAATACCCAAGAAATGAAATCTAGATAGTTAATTTTGAAATCTAGATTGTCTGGTGAGCTGCACATTGCAAAAATGAGTGAGCAGACATTCACACAAAATAGAAATATCACATTTGACAAGAAGTCTTATTTTCTATCCAATCGCTTCAAAGCTTGCATTTCAAGGATACCAACTCATGGCAAGTCTTTCAATGAAATTTAAGGATAATTTAAAAATGTTATATCACTGTAAAAAGAATAATTTTCAACATTTGAAGAAAAATGATTGCAGAGGAAATTAAATCCCAATCCCAAAAGAATATACATGAACATAGAGGATACAAATGGCCATGCCTGGTAGATCAAACATCAGCTGGCAAACACAATTATGGAAGATAGCCAGTGACAGGATTCCCATGCTTAATCCCAATTATGGTAAATAACTAGAGATAGGATTCATATGATAAGCGAGCAGATTATGCACAAATTCTTGTGTACTTGCAACTTTCACAAGATAACTTGAGAAACTAATTTCTGCATGTACATCTATTCTCTAGGAGACGAGCATCTATATTTCTGAAAGATCAAGCACTCATGTATTTCTTTAACAGGTGATGAGTTTTATATCTTTCCTTATCTGCGACCAAAATGATTATAGATTTAGTACCTTTAATCATTTTCAAAAGACCACTTGTATCTTTCTTTTACCTAGATGATCTAATAATCAAATATGTTATGGGGAAACCATAAAGTTTAATATGATTTGTGGTATTGAGAAGGAATTCAAGGTAAGACATGAAACATAAGGAATGATACTCACATTTTCTGCAAGCTTTTCCACAACTGCTTGCAAGTAATTTCTAAATTTGGTTCTTAACATCACCGTTACTTCACTGAGACTCTCTCCAGGGGCCGTGTTTCCCCCAACAGGAATGCAGGAACCCCATGACTTCAACTGACGTTCTATCTTGGGGCGCAGGACATCAAGCATCCTCTTCATAGAATTCAAAAGAATTCCCAGCTGAAAGCAAAAGTGTGGGCAAATTAATTTTCAACGTAAAAAGGGGGGTGACAAGTTGAGAATTTGACTATTCCAGCTCACCTCATTGGGAACCACGTAGGGGCAAATGGATCGTTTTGCCAGATTCTGGACATATTTGAGTCCAAATTTCTTCGGTGCAGTGTTTCCCTTTAGTGGTGACAACACATCAGCATATTGCTTATCCAACGCCTCCACAATTGCCTTTTCTATGTCAGCGATGGCCTTTATGTAAATGATACACAACCAAAAGAAAAACCAAGAAAAGAACAAAAACAATGAAGTTATAATGTGAGTCATTACATCACAGAATAATAATAACAATAAATAGCAGTCCATAATAAGACAACAAATTAAAGTGCATATCATCATTCTTTTTTCTTTTTGATATCTTCCATGAGAAACAAGGATAACTCCTCGCTCCAATCTTGGATAGGATGGACCCCTACCCTCTTTTCCTATGGAACAAGAATCTTCAGATTCATATGCAAGTCATAGTGCAGGTAAATTGATCGCCAAAATCAAATGGCTGGAAAATACTTCAACAAAGTTTAACAAATAACACTAAAAATAAATAAATAAGAAGAGGATAAGAAAAACCCATACATTTTCCAAAACAAAAGTGTATTCCGGCCAACGACAAATGATGACTTCATAATCATTCAAAGTTTCTTTCAAGCGGTCATACATATCATCGACGAAAGGGGTTGTGGAGTGCTGTGTCCTGACACCTGACCATTTAACCTGCAAGTGAATATACTTTTTCAAGCATCAAAATAATAAACCACAAATGAAAATATGCAATAATGCGTATGATGTGCAATATATCCCAAAGACTCCTTCAGTGTATCCTTCAAAATAATGGCAAAATAATTTCATTTATGAAAAACAGGGAAGAAAAGCTGTAGAGTTGCTCAACTGTATTCTTTTTGATAAGTCAGTCAAATGTATTAAATATTAATTATGGGCTTTTCTGTCCAAGCAGTTATGAAAAACCAAATCAAAGCTTCCCCGTGATAGACAAGTGGCATCAAGTGTTACGCTGTTTATACTACAGGTGAAAATGGCCCCATTATATACTCATTATTAAGTTGGTTTAAAAATAACAAGAAATGCAAGCATAATAAATTCAGCTACCTGTAATGCAATATGCACCCCTTTTTCTAGAATTAAATCTGAACGTAACTGAAATTTGATTTAAATGTTCATGAAGCTGAGGGGCGTTATTTAGTGGCATGCTGCTTAAATCTAATTTACAAGTTTTCACCATGAAACATACGACATAAACTTACCAAAAGTAAACCACATATAAAGTGCATTGCTCAATATGTGTACCTTATCTAATTTGCATGACTCGAGCAAAGCAAGGCGCTTATCTTGAATCCATAGGATAATATACAGATGGAATAATTCTTTTGCGTCAAGTCCACCTTTGACAGGACTGAGAAAGAACAATGAAATGAGCAAAAAAGTTAAAATTAATGTAATAGAATTTGCAACAATGAGCACAACTATGACAAATAAATTACGTTATGTTCCAGCTGGCAAGATCTCTTTGAAAATCTGCAGTCGCAATGACAAGTTCTGCTACATGAGGTGATGGACCTGTTGGAGGATATGCAATAAGGAATGCACGCAATCTACTGCAAAGTTCTGCGCTGTATATTGATGCAGAAAGACTTGGGAGGTCTATAAAACTGCAGAAATTAGAAATTCAGATGACGACATAAGACAACCAGCAAGCGACACCAAGCAAAAAAATCACAATTGAGCAACTTGTAAAGTTGTGCATGCAGACAGGACCAATTTGTATCAATTACCAGGAAAAAGAAAAGAAGGAAAAACAAAAGAAAGAGAAAAGAGCAATTCCTATCTTGTGTATCATTCTGATTAATGCAACCTTTGACCATTGTAAAGTTAATGACCAACTCTTCAAAAAAAGATGGAGAGAGAGAGATAAAGATAAAATTGTCCACCTTCAACCATAGAACATAAAACTTATCTAGTCATGGGTCAAAGCTTTTCTAATTTCTTGGAAGTTACAAGAGATATTAAAGCTCAGAGAAGATTGCCTTCTGTATATAAGATCAGTATAGCATCAGACAGTAACCTAGGAAAATCTATCACCATGTACCTGTGTAAATTTTGTTAAATCTGTTACTCAGGATAAGGGACAATGTGCAGTGATTTTTTTTTTTTCCCCCTTTCTTTCTAGGGTCCTGCCACGCCCCGGATTTCGAGAACCAAAAACCGAGGTGTGATTAGAGGGATTTAGGTGATTAGGAAAACTAAGGTTATTCAACCTACTAAAATAATCATTTTGCTCCAATGAGTTTACATTTCAAAGTTCTTAAAATCCATTTCATTGAGAACGTCTGTTTGGTGAAAATTTCAGCAATATGTCAACATAATTTTGAACTGAGTAATGATAGGCAACGCGAAATAGAAAATGCGAAAACTCCCCGAATCTGATTTGGCTAAGCCTCGTCAGAATTAAAAAAGCAATCCTCACATGGTATAAATGAAAAGATTAAAAAAAAAAAAACATAGTGCTTTCTCTTTCCCCTCACAAACAAGAAACTAAAAACTCTCCAAAATTGGATGGAGAGAGCAAAAGAAAATAATCACAAACTGGAAATTACTAGAACTATACAAATACATAAACCAAATATTTATTGTTTTAAAATTTATATTAAGGAATTTTTAATCTATAATTATTCATCCTATTAAAGTTCTACAAATTGTATGTCTTTTAGGAAAAAAGTAGGGGTCGAGAGTAATTTTACAAAAGGTGACGCTCGAGGAGAAGTGTTGTATATACCCAATTTTGGAGAGTTTTTAGTTTCCTGTTTGTGAGGGGAAAGAAAAAGCACCATATATATAATTTTTTGTTTCTTTTTTTTTCTTCTTTTCATTTATACCATGTAAGAGGGGACTCTTTTTTAATTCCATCGTGGCTTAGCCAAATCAGATTCGGGGAGTTTTCGCGTTGTCTATCATTACTCTTTTGAACTTCTAGTAGCAATAGGAACCTATATGAACTCTTGATATTCAATAATTAACATATCCAACTACTATACTCAAAACTCAGAAAAATAAAAGATATCTCATTCCCAGCTCATAAGCACAGTAAACACAGGGTTAAGTTCTAATTTACAGACCACTTCCAAACATACAAACTTTACATGGGAAATTTACAAGCCTTTTATTTTACATCATCAATTATTTCAAACCAAAAGCTAAAATATACATATGGCAAAAACACACAGAAGCTCCTCTACTTCTAGGCATGTGGGTCAAGCAAGCATGTGAGTAGAAAGCATCAAGCTTAGATATCCCAATCATCTCTAGCCTCCAATGTGTGCCCGATCTGGGAGGGGAACAGATAATAGGGGTGAGCTAATAAAGCCCAGTAGAGAAGAAACACCATTCTAAATCCTATAACCACCTAATAGAAACTTTGTAGCCGATTAAGCATATGTATATGAGTAAGTGCCAGCACAAACTCACCCACACATGACACATGGACATATGGTACATATCTGCCAAGTTAGTCAAAGAGCTTCGTGTGGAAGCTTTCTGAACTGCCTCAGAGACTAGTTATATTAAAGAAACAAAGGGACAGAAAGGGAGTTTTGGCATGTATGATAAGTGCCGAATGTTGCACATTCAAGCCGTCTTATTTACATTTTGTTAGTTATTTAGTTGTTTTTATTTTATGCTTTTATTTCGTTTTCGTGTTTTTACCATTTTCAGGTAACTATCCTCAAAATCAAGTAGAATCAGGAATTTCGGGCCTTCAAACGATGCTTCTATCCAAGCAAGTTCCCGATGAAGACTTCAAGTACTTGGACCAATTCCATGACCAATTCTGGGCCTAGTTGAAGACATGATACAAAAGAAGAAAAAATGAGAGAATTATGTAAAGGCTTGAATGAGATGCATTACTCATTCACAGCTCTAGTATTTATAGATACAATGAGCACATGCTCATATTACAAGAAAGGAAACTAAATCAAATCGAAACATATTCTATGGCATATTCTATAGCATAGTTAAAATATCTGCTATTATGGTAAGTTGTTTCATAAATCGTGATTATCATATATGCTAACATATGCATAGTCAAATCTCTGCTATTATGGTCATTCCATAAATCGCAGTATCATATATGCTAACACTCCCCCTCAAGTTGGTGCGTGGATATCTGAAACGCACAAGTTGGACAATGCATTCTCAAACACAATCTTGCTGACGCCCTTTGTAAGAATGTCTGCAAGCTGCTGAGAGCTTGTGACAAATAGAGTGCAAATTTGACCAGAGGTGATCTTCTCTCAAATAAAGTGACGGTCCACCTTTATATGCTTAGTCCTGTCATGCTGAACGTGATTTGTTGCTATGCTAATGGCAGACTTGTTGTCGCAGTAGAGTGAGAATGGAAATGACACTGGAAGGCACAAGTTTGTCATCATGGTTTTCAGCCATAGCAACTCACATACCCCAAGAGCCATAGCCCTATACTCTGCCTTTGCACTAGATCGAGAGACAACATCCTGCTTCTTACTGCGTCAAGTAACCAAGTTACCACCAATAGTGGTACAATAACCCGAAGTTGACCTCCTATCTGAAATTGATCCTGCATAATCAACATCTGTCCAAGCCTCAACACCTAAAGTGACCATGATTGGCAAACAAAATACCACGGCCTGGACACCCTATTGTTAGAATGTTGGGTCATTATGTAATTACCCATAGTATTTATGATTATTGTGTAATATTGTGTAATTAGTGTATAACCCTTATTCTTTATATAAGCCTCATTTTGGGGCTGAAGATATACATACAGAATACATTTTTCTCTCTCTCTCTCTCTCTCTCTCTCTCTCATGAATCTGAACATGGTATCAGAGCAATATGGATTCATGGGTGTGGGAAACGATAGTTGTGTTGCCCTTGTATAAGATCGGAATCGCGAGTGTTTTGTTGGTGTCTTTGCCGGAAGTTCTTGTCGCCGGCAGGTTGAGAACATCACTCGTCGTCGTCGTTAGATCTGTAGCCTCCTTCGTTGCCGTCAGGTTTGAAGCCCCTTTGGTCGCTCGTGTTGTTGCCGTGTTGGTCGTCAGCAAGCTTGCCGACATCCACCGTCGTTATTTGCAGAGGTGAAGCTTCATCGATTTGTCTTTTCTCTTGGTCGGAAGTTGCGGAGCTTCATCTTGGTCGCTAATTATTGCCGTCGCCGATAATTGCCGTTGCCGCTGCGTGCTTGCCAAAGTTTGTCGGTGGGGTTGTGAAGAAGAATAGCTGTGTTTGGCTACGAGACTATGCTATTCCAACCCTGGTTTACTAAAACCGGGATAGTAGAGACCTGGTTTTGATCCGGCCCGGTTTCCCAGGTCCGACCCGGTTTCCCAGGTCCGACCCGGTTTCCCAGATTCGACCCAGTTGTCGATTCTGCAATTTTTTCCCAGGTTTGGTTTTTTTCTTCTTCTCTATGGCTTCCAGTTTAAACCTGCTATCTTCTACCTCCTTTAATCCTCCCATGACTTCAGTCAAGCTTAATGGCAAAAATTACATTTTATAGGCCAAGTCAGTGGCCATTTTCCTGAAAGCCAAAGGCTTTGGCACTCATTTAGTTCAAGATAAACCCAAAAGCAGTGATGCTGATTTCAGTTCATGGGAATAAAGGGATGCTCAGATCATTCCTTAATGCTGAATTGTATTGAACCTCATATTAGCTCCAACTTGTTATATCTGGACACTGCCAAGGAGATATGGACCCGACTCCAACAGTTATATTCTGGTGCTGGTAATATAACCAGAATTTATGAGGTGCGTAGACAATTTTTTGATCTCCAGCAAGGGACTCACAGTTTAGAAGAATACCTCTCACGGGCAATGGGACTTTGTGAAGAAATGAATATGTATCAACCCATCACATCTGATGTGAAAAGCATGCAGCAGCAACGTGAGGATTTTAATGTTGTTCGGGTTCTCACAGGATTGTCACAAGAGTATGAACCTGTTCGTACCCAGATTTTAGGTAGCCCTGCACTTCCCTCTCTACTTGATATGTTATCCCGACTTCAGCGTGCCACTTTATCTAGTGGCGCTTCAGGGGGTGCTTCAAGTGGTGTCACTGCTCCTCCTAATAGTGAACGTTCTACCTTAGTTGTGAACTAGGATTGCTTTCAGTCTTCTCGTGGCCGTGGTCGAGGCAGAGGCAGAGACTCAAAACTTTGCTCCCACTGCGGTCTTACTAATCACACTGTCAATTACTGTTGGGATCTTCATGGGAAACCGCCACCTTCTTCCTATGCACATCAAGTGACTTCTCATGATGGGGATTCTTCTCTCGCTGCCACACCCACTGCTCCACATGTGGTTGTTAAGACTGCTATGGTTACGATTCCCCACGATGAGTATGCTCAGTTTCTGTCTCACCAACGGCCTTCCACCTCATCTTCCATGGGGTCCTTGGCCCAATCAGGTAGTGCCCCTGCATGTCTTTTGTCCTCTAGTCAGAGTCCCTGGATTCTTGACTCTGGTGCATCCGATCACATGACTGGTAGTTCTCATCTCTTCTCTGATTTTCATTCTGTTCCTTCCTCTCAAAGTGTTACTGTTGCTAATGGATCATTAACTAAAGTTTTGGGTTTGGGAACTATTCATCTTACCTCTTCTATGTCCCTTTCCTCTG